TCGCGCTTTTCAAATTGTGCGTTAAAGATTGAGGCGCCTCGGGAAATGGGGAAATTTATTTTCAGAGGGCCGGGGTAAACAGATCTGAATGGGCCTATTGAAAATCAAACGGCGCGCAGTAAAGTAGGCAATGCCGAATTGCCGAATTTTGTTGCCAAACTCTCGCTACTTCTGGCTGAAGTGCACCGTTTCGGAAAATGATTTTCCAACTGAAATGGAGAGGGGCTTAGGAATGAAGAGGGGCTGGGAAAGGGAAAATCGGGTGAAATGGCAGCGCCAATTTGACGCTCGAACAATTTGCACAGCTTTAAATGTCAGCTCGCATGCAAAATGTCATAATTCAAATTCGCCCTTGGGCGAAAATGTCCGAAATGTCCGTGGATGGGGCTTTTGGGTGCTTGTGGGTTAAACGGTGTAGTAAGCACATGTATGCACTGAAAAAATTAGAGTTCTAGAAAAGAAACCGGCTGAGAAAGGCAGAGCTCATAAAAAAAATTAAAAATTATAAAGGACAAATTATTATTATTATTAGAGGAGTAATTATTTAAAATCCCTTTACCTATTTTATATGATTTATTAATATTAAAATATATATTTTTTATGTATTATACATTTATTTATTTATATAATATAATATTTATTCTATATTTAAGCTCATCAAAAGTACAATAAATCATATAAAAATGGGTAAAGGGACACTAACTAACACAAACTTAGCTCAAAAATAAGTCAGTCTATAAGAGTTTGGTTCTTTCCCCAAAAGTTAATCAATCAAATCTGCTGAAATTGACTAGACTTTTGAGAATTTCGAGAGCATAAGCGATTCGTTATGACCCTCATGACCCCTTTTCCCTCATAAAAATCGTATTTGTTCCTCTTCTATCAATTTTTTTTATGCTACTTTGGGTTTTGTTTAGCTTTGTCACAAAATATTTGAAAGTTGTCTGTGTTCTGGGCATGAAGTTTTATAGCCTAGCCAGCAGAAAATTTGTCACGGGACTTAGTTTTGGTCGGCCCTAAACCCACCACCCACCACCCACTGATTCTACCGATTCTACTGACTGTGTAATAGATTTTTCCGGCTTAGTTTTTCGAAGCCACCTTGACATGTCGTATGATAAATGCATTTCGCGCTGGCATTCCCAAATTTCCGAAATTTCAATTAAGTTGCCAAGCGACCCTATCTGCGCCATCTAAAGGTTAACCTTTAACCTTTAAGCGATTCGGCACAGTTGCAAAGACGCGTTTTATGAAATTCTAATGATGTTTGACTGATTCATCCCGGAATCCTCCCCCACAAATGCGATGTCCTTGCCAACCTCATCCTCCCCCTCTTCGTTTTTTTGTCCGCATTTTCATGAACTTTGGGCAATAAAGAAACTTTTCCCCGCATTTCTACTACGTGTGTGTGGCATTATTTTAATTGCCGCTCCTGCTGTTTTCCATCCATGTTATTGCTGTAACATTTCGCACGTGACTTTCTGATTTTATGGCTTTTAATTTCACGTATTTAGTTACGGATAATGTTAATTGTATTCCAGGACATTCACGACACGCCCACCGCCCCCAAAAAGAGCGGGGGAGTTTTCCCCCATTTCCATGCGACACATGCGATTCGGCTGAGTCTTTTGTCACAGTTGATACGCCTATGAGTTCCGGGCAGTTGAAAACAATTGCCAGGCATTCAATTGTACGCCCTAATTACTGGGTTACGATGATAAACGGTAATATGATGGCAGATATGATATAATATGGGATAATGGAGGGCTGGCCTTGTCAACACAAAGGAATCTGTGGTCACTCGCAGCTCATCATCGCTTTGAGTTGATATAATAATAAAATTCATTATAAAAGGGAGAGTTTTGGAAGATGATGTTTTAAAATATATTATTTAAATGGCTACCAATTAAATAAAGAATAAATACCAAAGAATTATTAATAAATATTTAATTTAAATTTTTATATTAAGTATATAAAAATATAGAAAATTATTAAAATAAAAATCTATTTACAGGGCAAACAAAATTCGCTTTAACGATTTGCTCCTCCTGTTTTTATTGCCCTTATTTGGCATGGAAATTTAATGATGTCAAACGAAGGCAGCATAAAGTAGAGTATACTTTTCTGGGGGTTCAGATTCAGAGTCAGATTTTAATTATGAAAAGAGCAACGAACACGGCAACACATGCGGACAAGTGTATGAATAACGATTCGTTTACGGCCAGGATGTCGGGATGTCGGAAGGCTGCTCTCGTTGGACAAATAATAATATGTAATTTTCCGGTCATTGAGGCATTTGCACAAATAAGGAAATTGACTGAGCCGTTTGCCGAAATGAAATGGCTTTGACAACACGTGTCCGTATCTGTCCGTATCTGCAGCTGTCCGTATCTGCATCTGTGTGTAATTTCAAATTCCCAATCCCAATCCCAGTCCCATTTTCACATCCCGACCAAAACTCCTCTGTCTGGGCGATGAATTATGGCCTTTGCTCCATTAGACTTGACTTTGCCTTTGCCTTCCTCGAGTAAATCATTTGAATATTTAAATTAAATCAACTTCAAATTCAACTGCTGTATGCATAGTTTGCGGAAGTTAAGCTGCTTCCACACTTCGACCTAATCTTTTTCATTTAGGGCGGTAATTATAATGCGAGAATAAGTGGAAATATAATTTCCATTAACTAAAAGTTAATGGCTTTGAGTTTGAGGATTCGGAATGCAAAATGCGGATTGCGGTGGAAAGATTGCAGGTGCACAGCTTAAAACCACTGATTGATTGAATGGAAACTCAATGCTTCCATAAAATATTAACTATAAATTCCGAATTTAATTGCGGCTGTTGATTAAGAGTCTCTGAATCCTAAACTAATGTGAATTTGCCATTCAAAGGCAGAAGTTTATTTAAAGAAGGAATATGGGTAAATTAAATAGTTACATAGGCATTAAAAAGATTGATTGTGATTTGGGTTGTTATAAAAATGTATTTTAAACATACATTTTAAATAAAGAAACAAATAAATACAAATGTTACTTGTTAATCTTAATTATTCTTCTCTTTTAGACAATTTAAGGTCTTCAAATGGAATTAAATTTTATTTTCTGCTACCGAATATTAAAAGGAAAATACCTTTGTACACACAAGCCACAAAACAAAATGCCATTAGTAATGTGAAATTATTTTAAATTCATTTCGAACGCTTTTGGGGATGTGAAAAAGCCAAGATGAAACGAATAAATCACCGGATGTCCTCCGACAGTCGGCATCAGCTGGAGAGCATTCCTCATCGGCTCCTGGGCCACAAAGATTTTCCCCAACAATTTCGGTTGACTAATTGAAAGTTCGGGGCCAAAAAAGATGGAGAAGGCAGAAGGGGGTGAAGCATTTGGCAAATGGCAAACATGACGTAAAACATTTTGCCAACAAGCCAGCAAAAAACAATGACAGCCACTGTAAGGCGGGAATGTAAAAATCTTTCGAAACAAATTGCACGCGTGTCAAAATTAAAACGAATACATTTTTTATGGCCCCCGAAGAAGGGGATATAATTTTAAAAATTGTCGCAGCGGCGCCTTTTGTCTCGAAATCGAAATCGCAAATTCGGGGATATTTACGATGTGGCTTCGTTCCGACTTGGCTGGATAATTAATTAAAAATCGATACGAATTTGATTTGGATTTAACGGCTCTGGCTGAGCGGGCGCGAGAATTATGATGCTTAGTCAGCCGAAAGCCAAAATCCAGAATGCCGAAAGCCAAAAGCGGTTTCGACCAAAACTTCTGACATCCCAATGACAAACGACAGGCGGCACCCCCTAACACCTCCCAAAATCCCACCCCCACTGGGGCCTTTTGTGTTTGTTTACGATACTCGCAATTCGCAATTAGGTATAAATTTTTTGAATGTGAATTCCCAGCGGGATATTATACATATATGCATATACTATATATATTCGACACACGAAACTATAAATAGTCGAGTGGCTCAGATATTTTAGCCATGTGGGCCACCTGATTTGATTGTTTGCCAATGAAAATGATTGCAGGCCATAAATTTTGGTTGCTTCCTCTTTTTCCCCTCTATAAACCACATCCGTGTGTGGAGTTCTCGAAATTTACATATTTTTGGCAGTCCAATAAACATCTTCCATATCTTCAACAAAGAAAAGAATAAAATCACCTTAAATTTAAGGAATATTTCCTCTTTAATCATTTTATGATAGTTTTTCTTATAATAACCCACGGTATCCATCGCTTTTTTCTGCTCGATCTTTTTCTTCCCTAAATTTACATATTTTTGACAGTCCAATAAACATCTTCAATATCTCCAAGAAAGAAAAGAGTAAAATCATCTTCAATTTGGGAATATTTCCCCTTTAATAATTTTTTGATAATTTTTCCTATAATAACCCACGGTATCCAAGTATCCATCACTTATTTCTCCTAGATCTTTTTCCTATTCCGCGGACTTTGCTTTATTTTTATTGCTTCGATTGGAGCGCGTGAATTTATGGTGGTCATAAATTAGATTACAAACAACACACTCGAAGGTCGCCTGGGGACGGCCAAAGGGTTGCCACAGGGGGTTGGGTGCTACAAAGGGGGTCGTAAGGGGGTCAGAAGGGGGCGGCTGGCCCAGTTGGATTTCACTGGGAGCTAATTATTGTAAATTGAGCATTAATCTCGGGAGGCGGAATTTCCGATTTCACAATGCTATGCTTAAAATCACTCTCTTTAATTCGAATGATTGACTTCCTGGGGTTTTGGTTTTATAATTAAATCTTAGTATATTTTAAACAATTGCTTAAGATGAGAGTTCTGTTGAATGAGTCAGAGGCGTTGAATTTGTTTGCCATTTATATGATTATAAATTTCTAAACCTAAGAGGCATTTTTAAACATTCTTACTAATTAAGGTGACCCAAAAAAATATTTTTTTTTATTAAATTGCATCATATATAATATTTGCGATGGATTAAACATAATGTTTCTGATAACTTACCTTTGCAAACCTTGCGGTGGGTGAGTGGCTTGGTGGTGTCCCTGTAGAATCCCTCCTTGCACTGGTGGCAATTGCGTCCGGTGGTCGAGTGGCGGCAATTCTGGCAGACTCCGCCGGAGACGCCTTGGGACAGACGGAAGATCTCCATGTTGAAGCGGCACTGGCGGGCGTGCTTGTTGCAAATGCATTCTAAAAGAAAACAAGAAGACAAGTTCGGATGAGAAAAGACACATTGGTTAAGTGGAAAAGAGTCCGCTTTCAACGGCTTTAGCTTTCGATTGCCCAATGCGATAAATGGGGGAAAAATGGCAAATGGCTTTAGATTGGAAGATGAAATGAGTTGGGTTGGGAAAATGGAAATGGGATTGGCAGTGGATACTTGTCTAGCGGGATAAGCTGGATAATTTATGCGGCGATTTGTTTTGAATTACTGGGACTATCAGGCGGCGTTTTTCCCCTCGAATGGGAAATTTTAAATGTTAAGAATTTTTTAGAATTATAAATATTCTTCCTGTATTTTCTATTTATTTTTAAATTTAAATTAAATATTATAAACCATCTAGAAACCGGAATTTAATCTTTTAAAGGCAGGCCAACTGGCATTTGCCATTCGATCACCGAGGACCGGAGGCTTCTCCTTTGCTTATTCTGCTTATGCTGTCGCCTGCTGCTTGTTATGCTTTTGGCAAACAGTTTTGCTATTGACATTCGATGGCGACTGCTGCGGTTAGTACACAGAGAGAAATAACAATAGGAACCAAATGTTGGAAATTTCACAATAAATTATTATTATTATAAAAATTTAAAAGGATAAAATTGAGCTCCTTTTTCAAAGAAGTTACCCAACTTTTATTGCAATTTCCAATCTGTGGATACAAAGTACATAAACCACCTTTGCTTTTTGTATATGTGTACAACTTCTGCTGCTGAGTTGGCATCTTTTTGCTGAGGTTTGGGCTTGGGGTTTTCGGATCGAAAGGAGGGGCAGTCGGAAATGGACAGCTGAGCTGTCAATGCCAAAGGCCACGAATCTTTCTGCTGTTGCAGCTTGCGGCTAGACAAAAACTTGAAGCGCCTCAACCATTGTCCACCGGTCGAGGGCCCACTGTCTGCCGTCTGCTGTCTGCTGTCTGCGAGTCAGTCAGTGCAATCGACAGCTTCAGTTTTGTTCTGGACTGGAGCGCACATGCTGTAATTATCTTGCACAGAGGCAGACGAGGCGACTCTCGACTCCACTTTCACTCCACTCTCACTGGTTCGGAATCGGTTCCCTTGGAACCCGCAGCTCCCTTTGGCCTCCTGCTCCATTCCTCATTCTTCATTCCACAATCTCTAATTCCCGTTCCCCTGCCAGCCGCAGACAAACTTATGTCAGCGCAAATATTTGAACGCAGTCAGGGACTGTCGCATTCATACACGTCAAATAAATTCAATAACCAAGAAGTAATATACAATTAACTTAAGTATTAACTTAAGTATTAATTGCCAAAAATATTATATACCAAGAAATCATAAATCAGATATTTTTAGCATTATTATGAACAATTAAAAATTGTTGTGGATATTTTGGAAAGGTAAATTATTCAAACTAAAATAAATTATTCATTTTTGGGTCAATTGTTTTAAGAAATAAAATAATAAATCATCCTCTTTTAAATATTATGGAAAATGCATATGGCATATGACAAAATCGTAAAGATTTTCTGCACATTTTTTATCCATTGTAACCTTTTTCTACCAGTGTAGTCGCCGGAGCAGTCGGGAGACCGTTGTAGAACCGTCAACAAAAGCCAAGCAAATATTTAGAAAACGCAGAGAGCTCAAAGCACGGCGTGTGGCTAATTGACAAGCTACCAGGCTACCAGATATTTATACTATATGTACATATATATACCCCCCTGACTTCCGCCCCGAAAAGGGTTCGGTTCGGCTCGGTGTTAAAAATGCTAGATAATTAATTTTAATGACACACTTACGACCTGCGACTCGCGACTGCCGGCGAATGCCACTTGATTTATGGGCTGGGCGAGAGATTTTCGTTTTTCGGCCTTTTCGGGGCCATGTAAATTTGAGGCTCAGTTCAGTTCGGCGATTCGATTACAAAATCCCAGCCCATCCAGCTCAATCAAATGCGACTTAAAGCGATGCATAAAACCGCTCATTAGCCGGACCCCAAGCTGCTGTGTTATCCGAGAAAGGTGAGCCCAGTAATTAAGTTCAAATTTGATAAGTGGCCCTCAAACACTCTCAAAATCTCATCCCCCAAAATCCAGGGAGACAATGAAATCGTCAGTATCGTCGGTATCTGCATCCGTATCTTTGTCGCAGTTGCAGTCGCCCGAAATTAACTGCCTGGGAGAGTTTCCAATAAAAACATTTTTAGGCCGCTTAACTTTCGACTCGAATTAGTCACTCGGCCAAGAAAGAGGCATTGATTTTGACAGCGAAAGCTGGTGGGTCGGAGAAAACAAGGACATGAAAATGATCTATAACAGCTACAAAAGACTTTATTAATTTAACTTTTTTAAAAGCTTTCAAATTCACTTTGGTAATAAATAAAGCTAGTATTTCCTCGCAAACAAATACCAAAATAATACAAATATATTCCCACTTAATCAAAACAAAATTAAATATGATATGATTAATGTCAAAATGATGATTAAAACGTATCAATTAAAATACCGTATAAAGTATTTTTTTGTTTTTATATTTTTTTGGTAATAATTCAAGTTTGCGGTTTCTAAATTTTAGAAAAAATTGTTTAACCTCTTTTAAAGAGCCCATAACTCTGCGTTAATGGAATAGGACCTTTTTTAAAGAGGACCTCAACTCCTCTAGTCGATTGAGCTGAGTTATTTCTTGCCGGCCTCCAGAAATCGCCATTTGAATGGCTACTGCTTCCGGTACGCGATGCAAGTTGACACAGTGCAGTGCTGCAAGTTGCCAGTTATGAATGGAGGCCCTTTGATATCTCCCCAGTCCACAGCGAATCTCTAATTAACTGCCGCACAGGCGGAGTCGAATATTTTTGTTTTTCGTCGGTTTACTCCTCCGGGGGATTTCGTGCTTCTGTTCGTGGATTTCGTGGATTTCTGGTTTCTGGCCAGAAGCCGGAGCTTAGCAGCTCAGAATTGGCCAGCGAGGGCTGCTCTGCATCGAAGACCATTGATAATTGTCCGAAAAGCGTTCGCTTTGGCCACTGCCAATGCCCAAAAACAAACCGAAAGCCAAAACATTCCGGATCCATTCCGGAGCAGACCAAAAGCAAACGCAAACCAACCAAAAGCCAATCCAACGTTACGCTTTTGACTTGCTCTAAAGTTCTCTAATGTTTATGCGGGGGTTTCTTTATGATAATTAAAGCCTATATTTTTGATAAACTTGTATTATGCTCTGAGCTGGGATAATTTTGAATCAACTTTTTATCATAATTAAATTTATGAAAATAATTAATTTAAAATTGAAATTATTTTAGTTATTAATTTTATGAAATTATTATCATTATAGTAATAAAGCCTAGGTTTTTGATATTACAATTTTTACAATCCCTGCATAATTTCGCAAATTGGCCCCCGCATAAACGTCGTATCTGTTGATGGCTTTTTTATCCCCCCGTTTTTCGGGCCGGGGCTTTTCCTTGTCCATGTCCTGGCTGAGAGTTTTCAATTTTCCTCGCTCGACCCCTCGTTGTCGACATTTCATCGTTTTATGATTGATTGCGTTCGCCTCGCAGTGATTTTCGGTTACCGAAAATTGTGAATTGAATTCGTGGCGATGGAGGGGGGAAAATGGGAGAACGGGTAGGCGGGTAAGTGGGGATTTCCCCCGAAAAAGAGGTGGCTTCTGGTTGTTTGGTGCGATTGCGGTTGCGGTTGCTGCTGCTCTTGCGTTTTTCCACTGCAATTTGACAATTTCATCGCAAAATTGTTTTGGTGTTTGTGGCCGTGTTCTGTGCTCTCTGTGTTGTGTCTCTGTGATTTATCAAAAGTGGTCGTTTTACACACACAAAAAAACAGAAAACAGACAACGAAACAATCTTGTTTGGTAATTAATAATTTGAATTTTTGCGAGCCGAACAAAGCGAAATGCTTGTTCGCTTACTGAGTGATTCACAGAAATCACAAGCCGGGCAATTATGTCATCTCATCTCATCATCATCATCATCATCGTCTAGCGTCTGCATTCTGTCCAAGTATTCTGTATTATGTATTCTGGTTAACCCAATTTCGCCACTCTTTGAACTGAGCACTAGAACTACCAAGCACTAGAACGAACGTATATATTTAGTGTTAGTGCAGGGCGAATCGTATTTATAAACATTTTCATCGTAAACGCCCCGAAAAAACGGTCGTAAACAGCCAGAGCCACTTTCATAAATTGTTCGCACCGACTTCGCTGGAAGAGTCCGTCCAATTTCCAAGAGAATACCAAGAAACGCGTCCATCCTCATCATCATCCTCATCCACATGGCCCCAAAACATCCAAACAATGATAGCCCGGGGTCCACAAATGCCCCCTTTCTCACTACTTTCCCCCGATCCTAAATCCTAACTGCATTATAATGGGTAAGAGCAATTAACTTGTAGGTCTTTCTAACATATTTCGTGTGTCACCTAACGATCAAAAAGTCGCTTTGAGCCAAAGCTATTGTGGGGATTCCTTTTGAAATTCAGATACTTTGGTTTGAGTTGTCAGTGAATAATTGTTATGGAATTGGCTTGACGCTAAAAGATCAATAGTGAATTTGCAATTTAAAAGATTTAGCTATTTTTAATAAGTTACGAAAAATGGCGAAGAAAGTAAAGTAATTGTTTGACAGCTCCAAAAAATAAACTTAAATTGTATATTATTTAAATCACTTTTTTCAAACACTAACCGCCCGAAATAAAAATCTGTTAATTATGAGAAAATTATTCAAAACTACTTGAGCAACCCACGTCCGTTTTCGGACAATAGAACAAGAGTAATGGATTAAAGCTGGCCATGTTTCGTGGCCCACGCCCATTTTCATTCTCATTTCCCATTTCCATTTCCATTTCCATCTACATCTAATCCACTCCACTGCATTGCATTGCCGCCCCCTCGAGGCTTTTTCGGGGAAAATTTGAAAACATTTTTCTTTTGGCGCTTCCTTGCAGACTGCAAAACTGCAATTAAGGCGACTGCAGCTTTTGTTTTCGGTGTCTTTT